TGCATTTGAACTGACAAATGAATCGTTAGATTAAGGATTCACTGCATAAAAGAAGGACAAAAATCACCTTTGGATTTCACCTGTCACTTTTGTGGTTCAGGTTTTGTATTTTTTCCATGAGAGTCAATTATGACATAGTCATGAAGAACATAGGCTTTGGAGTTTGATATAACTGGGCTTGAATGCCAGATCTGTCCCTTACATGGCCTTAGTCAAGTTACATAGTTCTAAACCCCAGTTTCCTCATCTGTAAAATGGCGATAATAATATAAACTGTTTCATCTGAATATTTTGAGGTTTAAGTCTAATACTGTTAATGCTTTACTAAGCGTTTGTCGCATAATAAGCACTCAATAAATATTAGTGGTGCTGTGATAACTGTGATGTTTTAAGAAATACTAGCCAATTCTAGCACTGAAAAAAGTGAAATTTTTGACAAATAATGTTATTAGCATCATAGTGACAAATATATTTTTATTTCCATTGGCAAATACCTATCCTTACTTTTTTAAAGCAACAGATTTTCCCCTAGCTTTTTTTTATTAAACATATTTAAAGTGTGTTTAAAATATTATACCCATGATCTTTTAAGGAGTATTTTTGTGTTCTTAAACTAAACAACAACAGAATACTAACCACTCTATTAATCTTTTCTAGCAGGTTAAATTTTTCAGACCAACCAAATCTGACTCAGTGGATTAGAGCAATATCTCAGCAAACAAAAGCATTGCAGATTCTTAGGAAAGAAGAAAGTATTCCTAGTAAGTTCTGATAACCTGCTTTCATTTCTCCCTAAAGTCTGAGATTATTGGAAAATGTGGTTCCAGAGAGAATTGTTTAAGAATATTTTTAAAGTGAAACCTCGCATTTTAACCTTTGTCTTATTCTAATTTCCTTTGTCCTAATGAGCGTCTTGACTACATTACTTCTTATTCCTTGGAAACCCACAGGCTTGTGTGAAGTTTTATAATAAATACTTCTCACTTATCCCCCCCATTTTATTGAAGAGCTTCTAGGGGCAGGGTAATTAACTGAGTATTGCAGAGCTAGCTTTAGTTCTCAGTGGCCTAACTACTTTATTATTGGCATTACCAAAGGCTTCCGAAGTTTCAAGGCATGCACTGCACTTACGACCTTATGAGAAAACAGTCTGAGCAGAATTTATATTGTTGGCTTTTATAAAAACAAAATAGCATACTCTTCTTTTCCTCCCTTCTCTAGTTATGTTCTAGAGCAGGGGTCGGCAAACTTTTGAGATGAAAGAGCCAATCCTGTCCCTCACAACAATTTAAAAATTATTCGAGAGCCATAAAACAAATAAAGTCACCATTATGTGAATAATATCCTTTAGAATTTTTATAAATGAAACTATGATAGTTTATTTTCATTTTCAATTTTACTTCAGAGCCACATGTACGTCCCCAAAGAGCCACATGTGGCTCACGAGCCGCAGTTTGCCGACCCCTGTTCTAGAGGCTTTTCTGTTAGGAAAAGCAGTGGTGACTGAAGAAGGTGCCTCAGTCAATCAGAGCAGTAGTGGTTCTCATGCTTTGAATGCATGCTATGCCAGTTTTTATTAATAGAAATTTTTCCTGTTGTTTTTTTTTTTTTTTCTTTGACTTATATTTAGAATGAAATATGTGGCTGAAATTCATAGAAATGTTGTGGACTGATGAAATGCTTATTTCTATAGATATTGCCTCTTCAAAGAATTCAGAAAATATGGATGAATTGCAGCTCCCCGAAGGGTTTAGGCCTGATTTTCATCCTAAGTGAGTATATGATTTTATTCCCTCTGAGTATGGCCTACTTGATGTGAAAAATTAAGTTAGCAGTTAGTAAGAATATGATTTGTAAGCTAGGGAGCAAAATATTATAGGACACTGATCTTGAAATCTGAGGTGTAAGCATTACATGATGATATTTCTAGCGAGTATATTGATAAAAACCTTAGAACCACATGGATATTTAGCTCTCACCAACCTCCCCTGGTCTGTACTGCTGACTCTGTAATAGGCCCTTGTATCTGCCTCTGCTTGACAACACTCATCAGTACATCTGAATCCAAACTGCAACTCCCCCACCAAATCCTGTGCTTTCTTTCTTTTTTCTTTTTTTTTTTTTTTTTTTTTTTTTTTTTTTTTTAGCTGAGCCATCCTGCTACCTGTTGGCAGCTCAGCGGCTGCTCAGCTCGGGCTGGACTCGAACCGCTGTTGCTCAGAGCTCAAACTCTTGAGTGAGCTCTTAACCAACTGAGCCACTCGGCCGGCCCCTGTGCTTTCTTTCTGACTTCCATATTTCTTTTTATGGCCCACCAGCCTCTTAGTAACCCAGGATCCAAACTAGAGTATTTTGACTCTTTTTTACCCCATAGCCAATTAGTTATAAAGTATTGCATAAATTCTAGAGCCAGGTGGCTTGGTTCAGTTCCCAGCAGCACTGCTTACTAGCTGTGCAATTGTACCAATTTCTTGATCTCTCTGTACCTCAGTTTCCTCATCTGTAAAGTGAGGATACTAAAATATACCTCAAAGTGTTATGAGGATAAAGTGACATAATACATGTAAAGCCACCTGGAAGCTGTTCTTGGCATGTACTAAGTAACTCAGTAAAAATAAGACTGAAAAGCTTAAAGAGAAAAACCATCAGTCCTGTGCCTCCCACGTTCCCCCTCCCTTTCCCCAGTCCTGTCATTTTGTTTGTTTCTTCTGCTGTTTACTTCCTTATTTCTAGTTAAAATGCTTAGTTGACTGTCTCTTGATGCATTGTTTCTAAACAGTAGCTTTCTGTTTACTGGCTGACAATTTAGTATTCAGCTCTTACCTCTGCCCTGTCCAGTGCTCCTCAGCAGTCTCCCTATAGAGTTCTTTCACAATTTTTGGTTAAATCCGTTGACAATTTTTACATTATAATTATTTCTACTGATGTAAGTTGTGTGTCATAATTCTGTTTCTTTTCTTGTACAATTTTGTCGTTCCTGTGGTTAATAATTACCTGGTTTTTTTCATGGGCTTTGTTTTCTATGTATGTGTTACTTTTTTCCGTTTCCTGCTAAATGCTGCAATAGATCTTTCAGCTGCCTAGCAATAGCTTTTTTTTTTTTTTTTTTTTTTAAGCAATAGCTTTTCTAAGTGTTCAGACCCATCACATGATCTTCTAGCCTGGAACCCTCCCCCCACAGCCTCTGTCATCCCGCACCAATCAGGACACGGCACAGCTTTGCTCAGACTTCCGCGGCCAAGCTCCTCTTATTTCACTGGATCTCAGATTTCATTTTATCCTCTTAATTTATTCCCTTATTTTGTACAGGTGCACCCTTCAGCAGGTTCCTAAGAATGGGTCCCTGGGTGTTAAGTTTTCATGTCTGGAAATAAATGTATTGTATCCATTTGCTTGATTGATGGTTTGGGTATAGGATGGTAGCTTAGAAGTAATTTTCATCTAGATTTTAAAGGCATTGTTTTATGAATTTGTAGCACCCATTGAGAAATCAACGCCATTCCGATTCCTGTTCCTCTCTAACTTGATTACTTCTGGAAACTGTTAGGACCTTCTCTTAAGTCCCCACTATTCTACAATTTCTCTGTGACATTCCTTGGCATGTGACTCTTTATTTATTTTGCAACATTTTCAGTATACTCTTTGAATTTGAAGATTCAAGTCCTTCAGTTTTGAGCATTTTTTGTTGTTTCTTAGGTAATTTTCTCCTCTTGGTTTTTCTGCTCTTTGAGGTCATCCTCCTGTTAGCTTGCCGTTGCCCCTATTGGACTGATCGTCTGATAATTTTCTTATAAGTTTTCTGCTTTCTACACTGCCTTTGTTTTCCGTACATTTTCTGCTTGTTTGTTTCATCTCTTTGATGTCTGCTTCTTTCCTTAAATGTTTATTTCCCTTGGGTGACCGTTCAGGAAGTCTCTGAGAAGCTCATTGGATACGTGATGAGCAGGTTAGAGCGAGCTGGCCTTTGTGTCTCCCAGTGAGGTGATCAGACCCCACCAGCCTTTCCATTGGGACCCCTAAGTGTCAGTGCGTAAAGCGGCTTTTCCCCTGAGGATTCCTCACCGGAGGAACTAAAACCTATGACATTGGATATACATTGCCAGTGTTCTCAGGATGGGGAAAGAGGTCAAGGGTCTCACAGTTCAGCCAGTATGTAGACTTTCACCTAATACCGTGTTTGCAGCCTGTGCCTCACCTCTGCCAGCCCAAGTGGTACGTAACTCCTCTCTGGCAGAGGCAGTTTGCATATCTTTAATTTACCCTTTGCATAAAACTGCCTTTAGATAGTTTAAGTGGTTCAATTCCAACATAGCAAATAGCTGTTAAGAAACTGAACCATTGATTGACGTGAGCACATTGTTTTGAGCTGATCCTATACATGTTCACTTCAGGAACCCTTATTCCGATAGCATAAAAGAAATGCTAACAACATTTGGAACTGCTACGTACAAGGTGGGACTAAAGGTTCATCCCAATGAAGAGGATCCCCGTGTACCCATAATGTGTTGGGGAAGCTGTGCGTACACCATCCAAAGCATAGGTAAGAGATGTAGAGTTGTGTCTCTTTAAGTCACAAGCATCCATTGGCAGGAGTTACGTGTATTTAAATGAGACGTTTAAAGTGGGCAGCAATATGAAGAAATAATACTAAGACTTGGAAGTAGGAAATGTAGTATACTGACCAAATACTAGATTGACAGTTTATAAATTAACTACAGCCACTGAAAACTGATTTTGATGGTGGTTACAGCTTCTCGCCAGTTGAGGGAACGTGTTTTCATTTTTACTTTTCATCCAAAGTTAATTCTTATGAAATGACTTAAAAGATATCAAAACCTGACAATATTGTGCTTCCTGCAGAAAGAATTATTTTTAACTTTTTTTGAAATGTGATAAAATATATATAACAAAATTTACCATCTTATTCGTTTTTAATCTGCAGAAAGAATTTTAAGTGATGAAGATAAACCATTGTTTGGTCCTTTGCCTTGCAGACTGGTAAGTTATTAGTTTACTCAATTCATAGAATGGTGGAATGGAAAATCAGTATTTCTGCTTTTTGTAAATCTTAAAAACTTGAATTGGCTATTTAAGCATAGCTTCACTCTTTTCGTAGTAAAACCCATTTTCTGTAACGATATTGAAGTTATGTTTCTGGTTTAATTTCTCATTGTTTTTGTTTTAAATGGACTTTGGCTCTTTTCATCTGGAGCTCTTAGTTAAATACATGAAAAGATGGGGGGAAAAACAGAGTGCCTATTCTTGAATTTTTAATGCTATAATTGGAAATATAAAACAGAGCACACCCTCTACCACATTTGACTACCTTATAAGAAACATCAAATTAATATCAAAACAGTATATTTAATGCCTAGAGAAGTGAGGATGGAATATACAGTCAAAGCTTGCTAATTTTTTCTGTGTAGCTAATGTCAGACAGTGTCAGACCTACCTGCTGTTCAAGCTTATAATCATAAAATCGCCCTTAAGTAAAATCACATAATTTTATTCATGTAGAATCACCTGGAATATTGTTCAGCAATAAAAAAGAGTGAACTTTTGCCACTTGTGACAACAGGGATGGACCTAGAGCATAAACTTAAGTGAAATAAGTCAGAGAAAGACAAAACACCATGTGATTTCACTTATATGTGGAATCTCAAAAAAACAAAGCAAACGAATAAACACAACAAAATAGAAACAGATCCATAGATACAGAGAACAACCTGATGGTGGCCAAAGGGAAGGGGGGTTGGAGGGATGGGCATATTTTTAAAATATAAAAATAAATGCCATCTAAAGCAAAACAATGAATTTTTTTTAATATTTTTTAAAAATAACTTAGCCTTTAGCAGGGGTTTATTTGCACGTGGGAGAGATGCCACTTGATGTGGGAAGGCTCTTCGGACCCCCAAGACTGGGTTAGTCTCCATTAAAAAATTTAAACAAAACAAAGTATGCCTGTTTAGAAACGACAGTTTGTTTATTAACTTTCGTTTTCATTGCATACACCTAGAGTCTCAAGACCCTTTTTATGGTGTGAGGAATATAGCTTCTGTATCAGAAGTTCCTGGCCCAGAAATTGTGCATTAAAAGCTCGGAACTTCTTAAATATATAAATACCTGGGCCACTTTGGACTTACTGAATTAGAACTTCTAGGGTAGATCCTGGTATTAATACTGGATGAATTGTATATAGTAAATCAGCAGAGTCTTGACTCTGATACAGGATAGGACAGGACAGGATAGGATATGGCAGAGTTAGCTGTGATATTTTTTGCTATAAGAGTTGGTAGTATGTTGATTATTGAAAAGGCAGTCCCAATTGTGTAAAATTATTCTATTGAGTTTTTTAGGCAATTCTTATACATTTTCTTAATTCTGTGTACTTCACACTACCTCGTCAGCATACTGTTGACTTCATCTATTCTGTTAATATGATTTTGTGTTATCAGTTTACATTAACTTTCCCATGTTAAACCAACCTTGCATTCCTGAAATAATTTCAACGTGGTCATGTAGGTTATCCTTTTTATATATCATTATATTTGATTTGCTAATGTTTTAGCTAAGAGTTTTACATGTATGTTCATAAGAGAGGTTAGCCTGTTACTTTCCTTTATTGTAATGTTTTTATCAGGTTGCTCATATCAAAATTTTGCAGGTCTTATACAATGCAGCTTATTTGTTTTAGTTGTTTAAATTTTTTTTGTGCTTTTTTTGTTTGGTTGGTTTTTTTTTAGCTGAGCCATCCTGCCACCTGTTGGCAGCTCAGTGGCTGCTCAGCTTGGGCCGGGACTCGAACCGCTGTTGCTCAGAGCTCAAACTCTTGAGCGAGCTCTTAACCAACTGAGCCACTCGGCCGGCCCTAGTTTTTTAATTTTTAAAGTATATTGTCATTAGGAGTAAACTTTTATTTTTCTGACTCCCTTCAAACTTACATAAATCTCCACTCACCTTTCTCTCATGTATCAGAGGCTAAGGGACCTGGGGTAAGGTGGCCTATCCTTCCACCTATTATCTGAAATGCATCTGCTCTCTATTAGTTATTCCTTCTTTTACCTCCTCCTTTCCTGGCACTTCCTCTGTTGTCAAGTGTGCTCCACCATCCTCTTCTTACTCTTGCCCTCAGTGTTACCTTCCTTCTGTCTATGACCTTAGCTTTTTCATTCATTTTTATGAGTAAGCCATTTTAAAGCATACTTCATTCTTTTATTTCACCATGCAATGAATGAAAAATGTTTAAATACAGATAAGGAAATAGTACTTGCAGCTTTTAATTTCATATCCTATTGAGAGAGAAATTTTATATACAGCAAAATTTCCTTAAACAATAGTGTATACTCTGTCTCCAGATTCTTTCTAACCCTTCACTTTTCAACTTCCTGCAATTTGGCTCCTACCCTAACACTTTCACTCTTTGGAAACAGCGGTTACCAAGTTCACCAAGTGATCTCATTATCCTTGTGGGTGGGCATTTTTCACTCCTTATTTGACATTTCTATTTTGTTAACTACTTCCTTCTGAAACTCGGTTTCTCTCAATTTCTGTGACATTCCTGGTTTTCTCCTTACCTCTCTGGCACCTCCTTCTCAGTCTGCAACCCCTCCTCCATCCTGCAGATGTTTTAAACGCCCCAGAATTCGGCCCATGACCCTTAGCCATCAGACACTCTTCCCTGGTACCCCCATCTACACCTCTGATTTCAGTTATATCCAAATGATTCCCACTTGTATATCTCCAAACCTGGCCTGTTACCTCATTGCCTGCTTTATTTTTTTTCACCTAGATCTCCTAAAGGCACCTCAAATTGAACAGTCCAAATCATTTTTCTTACTGTATTGCCTTTATTAGTTAATGTCATTACTGTCCATCCAGGTGACCAAGCTAGAAACTCAGAATTCCTATTGGATGCATCGTGTGGTCTGGATGTTCATATCCAGTTGGTCAGCAGAGTTTGTTCAATTCCTGTCCGGCATATTTTTTCCCGTTCTTTCCATCCCTATTTCTGCTTATTTGGTTCAGCCCCGTATTATTTCTTGCCTAGACTCCATACCAGTCTGTACCTTAAATCTCACTCTTTTCTAATAAATTATCAGAGAGGTTCCTGCAGAACTTACCCTGATCATATCTGTTACACTTTTTCGCCAGTTTCTCTATGATCACCTGCCAATCCCCACAACCATGGTCCAGGCTTATAGAATCATTGCTGGTTCCCAAGCCTTTGTTTCTGCTAGAGTACCCTAAGTAGACTCCTCTCTAAGATGCTCTTCAAGCTTTGCCTTACCTGGGAGACCTCGGAGCCATGTCCTGTGAGTGAGCTATCCCTCATCTGTGGCATTGCCTCCTTCAGCTGCCGCCTCCTCTCTTTTCTTCCCCTCTCACCCCCAAGGCTGTGAGCTCCTTGAGAGGAGGAATATGGGGGTTAAGTTTTCATTTTAGGATTTTGAAAACCAAGGCTGTCCTATAGTAGGCCCTCAAATATGTTGAACTAAACATCATTACAGAAAAATTTGGAAAATAGAGCATTACACAGGAAGAAAAAGCTCATTAGCTTACTACTCATCTGTCTTTTTTCTTTAGCATGTTTATACTTGATTATAATTCATCTTTACCTGTAGTTAGAGTATCTCTTTAGAATAAATATAAAGAAATACAGCATTACATTCTTGGGAGTCTGTTGGTTGACGTCTGTCTGGGTGCATGTATCCTTTTCTTTTCCATAGAGAACCAGCAGCATGGTGGCAAGGAGGTAGCTTTGGTTTATTTGGCATTCAATTAGATATTTTCCATTCCATTCATTCCATGTTAGAGACAGGTCATTGAAGATGTCACAGATTCAGTTCCATACCATCTAGAGAGATTTCATTGTGCATCTAGCTTTGCTTCAACTAGTGTGCTTTGAACTAGCATTCATAAAACAAGAGAACTACTTTATATGCTGGCTTCTTTGTTAACTGTGTCAATCTTCTTATTTCAGGATGACTGTCTTAGGTCCCTAACAAGATTCGCTGCAGCACATTGGACAGTGGCATTACTTTCAGTGGTACAAGGACACTTTTGTAAACTTTTTGCATGTGAGTATCAATACATGTGCCATATATGCTATGGTAATTTCTCATCTTCTGTAATTTTGTTTTTAGTGGTATGACTTCTCTCCATTATGAGAGATATATTTTGGTAATATCACTTGTCTTATGTACAAGTTCTAGCTTATAAATTCATATATATCTTGCAAAAAACATTAATTTAAACTAGGTTATATGCATTTTTAAAATAATACTTATGGTGAAATATGAAATTTGCTAATGTATTTTTTTCTTTAAATATTTAGCATTGGTGCCAGATGACAATCATGGAGACCTGCCATGCATATTAGATATCGACATGTTTCATTTATTGGTGGGTATCTTGTAATTTGTGTTTGAAATTTTCTTTATTGTACTATAGAACTTTATCTTAGACTTGGTGAATAGTGTGGAGACAGACAGAAGGAGTTGTCATCTGTTGTTCTTAACTACTTTTGAATATGGTTCTTTTCCGAGGAGCCTCAAAAAGAAAATGTTAAACAAAGAGGCAGCTAACCAAATGGGAGAAGATATTTGCAAACAACACCTCCAATAAGGGGCTAAAATCTAAAGTATATAAAGAATTCATACAGCTTAACAACAAAAATAAATAATCCAGTTAAAAAATGGACAGAGGACCTGAACAGACACTTCTCCCAAGAAGACAAACAACCAACAGATAATATGAAAAGATGCTGAACTTCACTAGTTACTAGGGAAATGCAGATAAAAACCACAATGAGATACTACATCACACTTGTTAGAATAGCTATCATCAACAAGTCAAGGAATAAAAAAATTTATAATTGGAAAAAAAAAAAAACAAAAAGGTTGAGGAATCTAGTGTCTAATCTTCGCTCTTATTTTGCTTTGTGGCCAAAGTCAGTAATTTAACCTCTCCATGTGTTTGACCTACAAAGAAATACAAATAACACTGGTAATATAGGGGCTACTGCTGACCCATACAGTGCTTTTAGGCAGGTACAGCCCTGCTGGGGTCACACTACTTAGCCATAGATAGCCCCTTTGTGTGGTTTAGGGAACCCGTGTATCTTCTCTGTAGTCTGAAAAGGGGACGCACCACTGGCCAAGCAGTGGGGGGCTGAACTTCAGCCCCACCTCAGCTGGTCCCCTTACACAGGACACAGTGCAGCGCCACACACAGCACCCCCAAGTGCTGTCCCCTTAATCTCTTTGGGCATCAGATTCTGTGTCTATAAGATGGTTAGTAGCTATGATTGTGTCAGAACGCAATGGGATAATCAATGTAAAGAGCTTAGAGCAATGGGTCCCTACCCTGGTAAGTGTTAGCCATTGTTACCATTCCCATTTCTCCTATGAAAACCATCGTGCAGGCAGCAGGCAGCTAACACGAGAACCAGCATGGATTGTGTACCTGCTTTCACGTACAGTCCTGTTTAGTCCTTACATCCTTACTACTGAAGTATTAAAAACACATATAAACTCTTTAGTTTACCAACAGAGAAACTGAGGCTCAGAGGTGTTAACTTGTCTAAAAAGCTCATAAGAGGAGCTAGGGTTCATAGCTAGATCCTTATGGATCGAAAACCCATGCATTTTCCACTGTTCACCTCCCTAGAAAGATCTCAACTGTTGCTAACAATAGACTATGTATAGGGGAATCACTGGGTTAATGAAAGGATAGTGCCCATCAAGACTCCTTTAGTTCTTAAGTAATTTCATTTAGCCAATCCTAGGGGAATTTCTAACGTGTATTGTTTAAGAACAAAGATTCCTTAAGGGGAGGGGCTGACCTCTGAAGTGGGTCACACAAGAAAATGGAAGCGTGTCTAGGTGTGAAAGGAAAGGCCTGTATGTGTCTGACTCTGTATTTGGCTTCTAGGTGGGCTTGGTGCTCGCTTTCCCCGCGCTGCAGTGTCAGGATTTTTCAGGGATCAGCCTTGGCACTGGAGACCTTCACATTTTCCATCTGGTTACTATGGCACACATCATACAGATCTTACTTACCTCATGTACAGGTAACATCTACTTGAAGGAAGTGCTTGAGTTTCGCAGTTAAAAAACAAGTATTAAAGGAAAAGGTGCTTGGATGAAAATAATAAATGAAGTATAATTAGGCTACTTGTTTTTTCTGTTTATCCTCGTGTGACAAGTTTTGAAACAAATTCTGTTAAAACCCCTTAGCAATGTGAGTGTTGTACCTATATTTATTTCATGAGTTTAGTACTATTGGAGTATCACACATGGTATGTTTAGCTGATTTTGCACACAGCGTTCTGTGGGCACCGTGAGTCAGCTCAGGGGCCTCCCTCTTCCACAGCCTGTGGGCTCCTGGTTATTCTGATAGAGATCAGTACTGTGCTCACAGCTGAGGGGTTCAGGGTCTGTGTTTTGGGGGTCATTTTCATACGCTATTTGAGCGTGTAAATATGCTGAATGCTTAATGGCGTGGTCATCAATCTGTTTAATGGGCAAACAGAGTGCTCATACTTCCTTCTCTTGCAGAAGACAACGGCATGGATCAAGAAACTCCTGCTGGTGAAGAAGAATTAGCAGTTCTTGCTTTGTATAAAACACTTCGCCAGTATACAGGAAGGTGGGATCATAATCTTTATAGGATATTAGTAGATGATAGCATGAAAAAAGATTCACTTGTTAAATTAGGGAAATTGGTGTCTGTTGACATGTTTTAAAAAGAAGATGGGAGTATGTCTGTACTAACTTGATTGGAAGTCTCTGAAAGATTGCAGACTTCTGAGAGGAGTAATAAACAGAGTCCCACATTTATTTGGCCATAGAACCCTTTTTTTTTGCTCAGAGGATCTGGCACGTGGAAACATGAAACTTACTTTGAAAGTGCTATTCTAAAACATGTTATTTCCTTGGGAATTTAAAAATGCAAATTAAATTGGCATCATACATTTTTAAGGCAATATTCCGGACTGGCAGGAATTAGAACTTCACATGCTGTTGGAGTCATTTTGATTTGGTACAACAGTTTCATTTAGCTTTTTCATGGTATATGTCAAGAACTATAATGTTTGTTTTTTTTTAACTAAGTTACCTTACCACATTTCTGAGAATCCACATTAATAAAATAATCTAACATAGTGAAACCTATAGACATAAAAATGTGCACTCTGATATTATGTATATTAGCAAAGAATTGAATGCACTCTAAGTGCTTGCTTGCAGGGGAATAATTTGGTATTGTTTATGATTGATGTGTTCCAGAATATTACAATTTCAATAAAAATTATGGTTTATGATTTTCTAAAAAACTTGTTCATTTTAAATTTCATGTTACACTTATGACTCTGTAACAGATTAGTATGAAAATAGTTTGGCAGAATAATACCTGCTGATAAAAGATTCTAGAGTAGTGGATAATTATTTTGTATTTTCCAAATTTTCTCCTTTAACATTACTTTTATAAATTTTTTTTTTTTTAAGATTTTTATTGGGGAATTGGGGGATGAGAACAGTGCTGGGGAATTGGGGGAAGGGTAACAGACAAGTTGCTGTCCTTTTGTTCTTCAGTCTAGTTGTGGAGGACGTCGCTTCACTGGCCCAAGTTCGCACCATCATTGCGCTCTTCCCAGGCGAGGCACATCAGTCGCCGGCTTCTGGACGGCCGCTCACGGCGGCTGCTGGCCGCTCACGCTGGCTGCTGGCTACATACGGTAGCCCATGGCAACCCACTGCCACAGGGGCTGTAGCCTACGCTGTCGCCAGCGACTCACGGCAGCCCAGCTCCAGGTTGAGCTGTTGTTCAGCATCTTAGCTGTGATGGGCAGTGTCACTGGCCCTCATATGTGGGATCCGAACCGCGGCCCTCTGGCATCCCAAGCCAGTTCTTAACCATTGCGCCACTCGGCCGGCCCTACTTTTATAAGTTTTAATAACAGCATTGGAGGCTATATATCACCATTTATTCCTGACATCCTGTAATAGTCAGAGTTACCCATTCCTTTTAATGCCAAATAGCAGTTGTCTGTTTTCACATTGTGCTGTAACTAGAATGGCTGTTTCCATTAATATTTTTCTCTTTTTAGTGCCTTGAAAGAAATATCCTCCGGCTGGCATCTATGGAGGAGTGTCAGAGCTGGAATCATGCCTTTCCTGAAGTGTTCAGCTTTGTTTTTTCACTATTTAAATGGAGTTCCCCCGCCACCCGAAATTCAAGGTAATTTCTAATTTCTTTTCTTTTTTAAAGATTTTTATTGGGGAATTGGGGGGAGGGGAACAGACAACTTGCTGTCCTTTTGTTCTTCAGTCTAATTGTGGAGGACATTGCTTCACTGGCCCAAGTTGGCACCATCATTGCACTCTTCCTGAACTAGGCAGATCAGTCGCCAGCTTCTGGACAGCCGCTCACGGAGGCTGCTGGCTACACACGGTAGCCCATGGCAACCCACTGCAGCAGGGGCTGCAGCCTACGTGGTCGCCGGCGACTCACGGCAGCCCAGCTCCAGGTTGAGCTGTTGTTCAGCATCTTAGCTATACAGGGTGCAGCGTCACTGGCCCTCATATGTGGGATCCAAACCGGGGCCCTCTGGCATCCCAAGCCAGCTCTTAGCCAACGCACCACTCAGCCAGCCCTCTAATTTCTTTTAAAATGTAGGAAGTGTATGTAGTCTTGCACTCCAGCAGCATAAAATTAAAGTGACTTGCAAAATTGAAAACTGATTAAAAGTTTACAACATAGTTAATTGACTGCGGATAAAAATGTGAATTTATATGTTTGATTTTATTGAAGCTCAGTGAATGTGTTTTTTGTACATAGAAATGTACAAAAATACAGTTTTGCTTTCATATGTTAAAATGTTCAATTCATAAACTGGGTTCTGCAGATTTTAAAAAGTAAAAACTGACAATTTCAAGTGTTTTTTAACTTGAAATGTGGCATTAAAGTTCAGAAAATTCATAATTGCACACATCTGATTTTAATGTAGGAATTCATTTGCTATTTCAGTTTCCTATATTTGATTCTTGCATAAAAGTAGTATAACAGTTGACTTAAAGTTAACTGTATCTCTGTATTCCATAGTGCCTGGCACAGGGAAGGGAGTGCCTGCTAATGTTGCTCCTGAAAGTTTGTTGACTGACATATCCACTCAGCTGGGTGCCCAGGCATCATAAAGAATAGTTGAGACTTCCTGATCATTTGCAGGGATGATTAGAGCTAGTGCTTAAATCCATCTCCGTGATGAAATCATCTTGTATTTCTGTACTGCTCTATACTCTCCGGAGCACCATACGTTATTTGTGTCTTCAAATGTTCAAAACGAACCCCATGAAGGAGATGGTGCAGGTTTATACCATCTTGCAAAGGATAAAACTGAGACATTATGAAAATGTAACCAGTTTGGTTGGTGTAGGAGTTGTCTGACTTCACTCTCAGTTGTGTCCTTTTGTGGATCCCATTCCATGTGCCATCTTGTTAACTTCCTACAAGTTATGTACCTGCCTAATTTGAACTCCTTCCTCTTGCTTTTTTTTTTTTAAAGTCTGCTATTGCTACTCTCATACAGGATCTACTCTTAGTTGTTTCATGCATTAATTACTCTTTTCTCCATTTGCAGTTTCCGGAACAAGCCATTTTGAATATTTATGTAACTATCTTTCCCTGCCAAACAACCTCATTTGCCTTTTTCAAGAAAATAATGAGATAATTAAATTACTGATTGAAAGGTAATGATTATACATTTTTCTTCATTACATTGAATAGTTATATGGAAACAGACTTCAGCTTATCTCATATATTGCATAATTCTCAGGTAGTGAGGCTGGCAAAATTCAGTCCATGTAATTTAAACTATAATGATTAGGCCTTCTGAGTTAAGGTTTACCTTTGTCATAAGATTTTTGCCCAGCTAGTGAATAGCATAAGCAGATTCACTTGGAAGGAGAGGAGTAGTAAAAATGTGTATTTCCTCTGATCAACTTACTTGTTTAGGACTCTGTTCTGTAGACTTTTAGAACTGAGAGAAACCTTAATGGTTACCTAGTCCAATACCTGTACTTTAAAATTTGGCTGTTTTATGCAAAGAATGGGAGGAAATATTCACAAATCATATCTGATAAGGGATTAATATCCTGTGTGTGTATATGTGTCCAGAATTCCTGCATCTCAACAACAAAAAAGCAAACAGCCTATTAAAAAATAAGCGAAGGACTTCTCCAAAGACCATATACAAATGGCCAGTAAGCACATGAAAACATCCTCAATGTCACTAGTCATTAGGGAAATGCAAATCAAAACCATAGTGAGATACCACTTCATACCCATTAGGATAGCTATACTCAAACAGGCAGAGTAATAATATGTGTTGTTGAGGATGTTGAGAAATTGGAATTCCTGTGCATTGCTGGTAGGAATAGAAAATGGTACCGCCACTCTGGAAAAGAGTATGGTGGTTCCTCTGAAAGTTAAATACAGAATTACCAGGTGATCCAGTAATTCCACGTCTAGGCATATATTGCAAAAGAATTGAAAGCAGGGCTTCAAGTAGATACTTGTACACCCATGTTCGCGGCAGCATTATTCACGATTAGTCAAAAGATGGAAGCAACCCATGTATCCATCAATTGATGAATAGATAAACAAAATGTGATATATGTACACACAGTGGAATATATTTATATTATTCATCCTTAAAAAGGAAGGAAATTCTGACACATGCCATAACATAGATGAACCTTGAAGACATGCCAGGTGAAATAAGCCAGACACAAAAGAACAAATATTGTGGGTTTTCACTTACATGAGGTGCCTAGGGTAGTTGAGTTCATAGTGACAGAAAATGGAGTGGTGATTGCCAGGGGCTGGTGGAGGGAGGGATGGGTTAGTGTTTAACAAATACAGTTTATAAAGTTGAAAATGTTCTAGAGTTGGATTGTGGTGATAGTAGCCCAACAATGTAAACATATTTAATGCCACAGAACTGTACACTTTTAAATGGTAAATTTTATGTTATGTATATTTTACTACAAAAATTATTTTTTAATATAAGTGTTCTAGCTCCAGATAATAAGAGCTTGTCATTAAATCAGACTGGTTTTTTCATCGTATCCAAATTAGAGAGGTAATAGTGTATGTAGCCACAAATTTTATACATTAAGCATTCTTGCTTTTAAAAAATCACAGGTTACATTCTTCTGATTTTAAAAGTTGCGGACAAAATATGTATTCCTCCAAGCTTCTTTTGATGAGATAAATATATTGAGCAAAGAAGTGTTTTGTTTTTTCTCTTCCTGGATTTAGAGCAAAGAATTCTAGTTCTAACCTTCAAAAGTTAAAAAGTGTTTTTTTCCCCCATTTGTATTAAAGTTGGTGTCAGAACATTGAAGTTAAAAGATATCTAGAAGGTAAAAGAGATGCTATCAGGTAAGTTGAAGATTGTCAAAGACTTGGTGGGGCGCAGGGGGGAGAGAAGCGGGGTGTAAGTGCTGTGTCCCTTCCACACTGACCTCAGACTTCCACACTGTGATTCCAGGAGGTAGGCCATCGCGCCTTCATACTTTCTTCTTCTTAGTCTAATGGTGGTGAGAATTTGTAAAAGAATCAGAATTAGGAACATAAATAGAGTACATTATTCTTGACAGAGGAAGCAAATAACAAAATGATTATATTCAGAAATGCTTTTTAAAAATGTGGGTCCTTTTTTAGGTTTTTCTTAGCTGTTACTTTTTCTTTTTCTATTCATGACAAACTTCAAAGTATCCAAAAGTTTAAAGACTAGCATAAGAAGGCTTCACATACCCGTCACTCAGCTTCAGTAATTATTGGGTTGTCGGAAAGGTCATGACGCATTTTTGCAACAAAAAACATAGAAAAAATACGTCATGACTTTTCCGACAACCCAATATTAAATCTAGGCCAATCATGTTTATTTTTTCTTCATTCCTTTTGACATGAGATCTATTCTGATTCCGTATTAAAGTTTGCTATTACCAGGTGGTAACAGCTGTATTTCATCTATTAATATCTCTCTGGTTCTGCCGAATACATTATCCATAAAAATCAGGGGCTAAAGGAGATTGTTCTTTGGTTTCATGCACAGTTTGTCTCAGATCCAGAGATGACGTATCACCCCAGTTTTATTAGGTTGAACCATATGAAATTTCAGTTTTTATAAATCAGAAATGGTTGAGTATCACCAATTTCATCTGGTTCAACCCTGCAGTCAGAAAACTTATTATGTGGAACAGGAGTTCTCAGCTTGAGATACACATCAGAACAACTTTGCAAACTTGGAAAAAATACTCAGGGCCCTACTTACCAAATCTAATTTCTCTGAAGTTAGTCTCCTAGTATGTATGTCCCCTCAGAATTTTCCCCAGGTGATCCTGGTATAAGAACTGCTGTCTCAGTAGCTCCCTCATGGTTTCAGTCCACTCCTGGTCCTGCCACAGGTAAAGCAGGCAGAGGCCAGGCCGTGTGGCCCATGTGGGGCAGGCGTGCCCACTGAGAGGGGGTCCTCTAGTGCCTGTTCACTTTGGATCTCAATTTTATCTGAATTGTCACAGAACCAACATGGCCTCCACTTTACCTATTCTACTTTCTTCTCTCCTCCAACTCGTTTCTGCCCTAAGATCACCCTTAAGAAGCCCATCTTTTCTGTCTTTTCTCTCCCAAGTTCTGTGTTGGGCTCTCCCTGGCTTAGTTGTTTTGGTGGAAGCCTGGAGGTAAAAAGCCTCTTCTGCACCTCCCCTGCTTCCCAGAGCTTCCACATTTCACTTAAATGGGGCAGATTCTACATACTGTCTATTGCCCTGATCATTTATTCTGAGCTTTTTGAGTAAAAATGTGAACCATAAGGCCCTGTGTTATTTAAATATGCATTTTTAATTTCTTACTGTGGCTTCTTGTACCCCTGTGGTAGCACCAATCACTCAGGTAGTCTGCCTATTTGTTTTGACTAAGTTGAGTTACCCTGTTGTTGTAATACCGCCTCATAGTAACTGTTTTTGTGTGGTTTTTTTTTTTAAGCTATCCAAGAGAATCTAACAGATTAATAGACCTTCCAGAGGATTACAGCAGCCTCATTAATCAAGCATCTAATTTCTCGTAAGTTGTGATTTTAGAGTACTGAGCATTTCCTACCATTGGAAATACATCTCTACACAGGATTTAAGGGATTTTGTTTGTTCTTGTTCTGTTTTGTTCGGATAGGAAAATCGTAACCTCGGGAGTACTTTAACACCACCTAACTTGTAAAAGCATTATTCCACCATGTTTCAGAATAAGATACAGAAAAGGGGGTGATGTGGGGACAAGTGTGATTCATTGAAGTTTCTCTAAATAACAACTTGCACTATAAAGTAATAAGAGCCCTTAGTAATGTGTAACACATTAAATATTTAACATGTGAACAGCATAAAGAATAATCAGTAGTGTAAAGAATTAAACATTACCTAGACAGTTGAAGATGCCTCTGTATCTCTATGGTGCCTCCTCCCCCTTCCTCAGCAGAGATCCACCCTTCTGGGTGGAGAGTGAGCATTCCTGTGCATCTGCATGTGAACTACAAATGTTTGCATTCCTCCGCGGCATCAGTATATATTATGATTATGAGTATCATTATTATTTTTATATTGCATGTTTTAAGCTTTAAAATGGCATTGTACTGTACCGTACATTCTACATCTTTTTTTCACTCAGCAATGCTTGTAAGATTTATTTATATATTTGACATACATAACTTTTAATTCATCATTTCTCACTGTTGTATAGAATTTTATTAATGACAATAGCAGAATTTACATTTTTTCCTCCTACTGATGAGTTTATCTTTTCTCTGATTGTTGATTGTTTCCAGTACATGGTGCTTGTATATATGTGCGAGGTGTTCCCTATTCTAGAAATAATTTTACCTGGGCCGTGGGATATATACATATGCATCTTCACCTCTACGTGATGTTGCAAAATTTCTTGACCACCATCAGCTCTTCAGCTACTCTTTTTTAGAGCAATGACTTGTGCTTTTTTCTTTTCCATGAAGGTGCCCTAAATCGGGTGGTGATAAGAGCAGAGCCCCAACTCTGTGCCTTGTGTGTGGAACCCTGCTGTGCTCCCAGAGCTACTGCTGCCAGACTGAGCTGGAAGGGGAGGATGTAGGCGCTTGTACAGCTCACACCTCCTCCTGTGGTTCCGGGGTGGGCATCTTCCTGAGGTAAGGCCCTGGGGGCAGGTCCTTAGCCATGCATGCATGAAAACTGCTGCGCTGCAGAGAGTTCTAAGACCGCTGTTCTCGTGCGTTTTATTCATTTGAGAAACACGAAGCCTTGACTCCGCACATCTTATTTGGCTCAAGTTAACTGTGCTGGTTCTTCCATTATCGTCATTCTCACCCCCATGACAGTTCTGTTCTACTTTCCTCAAGCCTCGTTCTCATGTGAAACTTCCAGTTGTCTTTGAGTTTTCTACCCACATCTAGTAAGAATTAGTCCTTTCATTGTGTCCTCATGGCTTTGGATTCATACATATCACAGGCCTGTGTATATGCAGTCGCGTATATTCAACAACATACAACAAATACTTACTAGTGACTCCTATTGACTGAGCCTTGAGAATGCTCAGCAAAGCAGACCAAAATCTCTGCCTTCCCTGAGCTCATTTTCTAGTGAAGGAGATAGAAAATAAACAAGACTGGTAAGAATTTAAAAAGTGATACATGCAGAGGAGGGAAAATGAAATGGCACCTGGGGAACTGAATTTTAGATAGGGAACCAGGGAAGATTCTTTTGGAGAAAGACCTAGAGAAGTGGGGAGAGCATTGTAGGCAGACGGCAGTAAGTGCAAAATTGCTGGGGAATGTGCCTGTCATGTTCACGAAACATCAAGGAAGCTGGTGTCACTGGGGAAAATCATGGTGCCTGGTGTATCCTAATGACATCTCTGAATGAGATGGAAGCCATTTTGGCATTTGAAAGAGAAGTGACATGAGTTTGAGCTCCTCTGGGGTATAGATGATCTCCGTATCTTAGTCATCTAAGTACCTGACAATTGCTTGTATGAGATAGGCTCTCAGTAGATGTTGGATTGAGCCGAATTACACATACCAAAAAAAGTTGGGCAAACCTCTTAGAGGGCTCAGGAGACACATACTTAAATGGCCCCTAGGAGAAATGTGACAGTAGCATTTCCCCTTACCTGGCATATTTCAAAATTCTTTTGGTCGTATGTATTATATAGCCTTGTGTTTCCAGTCAACCGAATTCATAATGTTTGTGTACCATGTTTTTAATGAATAATTTCCTCATAATAGTGGTTAAAATGTCAGTAACTATTTTATGTTTAGTAGTTAAATTGCTCACACTTAACAATTTTTTTTTTTTTAAAGATTTTTATTGGGGAATTGGGGGGATGGGAACAGCGCTGGGGAATTGGGGAAAGGGGAACAGACAAGTTGCTGTTGTTTTGTTCTTCAATCTAGTTGTGGAGAATGTTGCTTCACTGGCCCAAGTTGGCACCATCATTGCGCTCTTCTCTGGTGAGGCAGATCAGTTGCCGGCTTCTGGACGGCCGCTCACTGCGGCTGCTGGCCACTCACGCTGGCTGCTGGCTACACACGGTAGCCCATGGCAATCCACTGCCACAGGGACTGCAGCCCACGCCGTCGCCGGCGACTCATGGCAGCCCAGCTCCAGGTTAAGCTGTGCATCTTAGCTGTGGAGGGCAGTGTCACTGGCCCTCATATGTGGGATCCGAACCGGGGCCCTCTGGCATCCCAAGCGAGTTCTTAACCATCGCGCCACTCGGCTGGCCCCTACACTTAACAATTTTTTTTTTTTAAACTGAGCCATCCCGCCACCTGTTGGCAGCTCTGCAGCCGCTCAGCTCGGGCTGGGAATCAAACCGCTATTGCTCAGAGCTCAAACACTTGAGCAAGCTCTTAACCAACTGAGCCACTCGGCCGGCCCTTAACAATTTTTGAAAGGGTGCTATTACATGAGCCATCAATTCTTTATCCACAGTGGTCCCTCCCTCACTAAATTGATTTACAATACAGTCATTATTGATTACAATACAATCATTTTAGTAATTTTTAAAACTTAAGATGTGTAGATACTTTTGTAAGTGTCTTCTATAAATGCCGTTGTTTCTCTTCTAACAAACACTGGTATTGTTTATTTTTATAAGAATTTAATCCATTTGAAACCAGATCCAAAACTTGGTTACTAATATATAATGTGTAAATGGTCTCTCTACAGAGTACGGGAATGTCAGGTGCTATTTTTAGCCGGCAAAACCAAAGGCTGCTTTTATTCCCCTCCTTACCTTGACGACTACGGGGAGACTGATCAGGGACTCAGGTAAGGGCTCGTCCTGGGTGCTGGCGTGGCTGCCTCAGGGCCTCCAGGGTCCGCAGTATGTGGTGGGCATGATGAGCCCTGTGGTCCCGAGTCGGCCTGCTGATAGCCCGGGGGCTGGGGCCTTCCGTCCTGGCACAGGTGGCTGGTATCTGTGAGCTCCTCCAAGGAGGGCACCTGGCTACCTGGTTTGGCATTCCCTTTCCCAGCCCTCATAATGTCACGGGGGCCATCAGGACAGGACAGAGTGCCACTTTTTTCCATCTCTCACTCCAGAGAACCAGAACCGTTTGAATTGCCATGTGGCATCCACTGCACCAGAGCACTATGGGCACAGCCCGCTGTGATTTGCGTGGCTTTGTACAGGGAGAGCCAGCTTGTTCAAGTGATCTAAGAGAGCAGACCTTGGATAATAGATGAGCTTATCTTGTTTCATAAGATTCTGGGGGACAAAGATCGAGGACATACAGAGCAATACAATAGTAGTTGAGGCTTAATCACTTCTACTCCAGTAGCTTCTGTTACACCATAAGCAAAATGCTAACAACAGTTCCCCCAAGCATTATTAGAGAACTTCTTTTTGCCCAAAGGAGGTAAAAGTCTTAACCTAGATACAACCGTCCAGCCTTGGGGAGCAAAAGTTGAAGCCCTGGGAACTGAGCCAGGAGAATAAATGCGCCGCCTAGGCGCTTGACTGCAAGGTCACCGGCACCTGCCACCTGATGATGGTGCTTCGTGTTCTCTGAGGAGTGCAGGCTCCTAGGAGGAGCCGCCCTGGGTAGGGCGAGGATTGGTGCCCTGTGAACTCGGAGTGCAGGCACCAGGCGTGAACTCAGCACAAACTGTGCTTCGGTTAAATCAGACCCAGATGTTATTCACATTTGTCTGCTTTGCTTAAACTTTGTTGCTGAAATACAGCATTTTGAGGAACCCTGTAATTTCCCTTCCATCCTCTCCCCTGCCCCCTCCCCTCTTTTTTACATTTAACCGACAAAATGGACAATGAATGGATAGTTTTAGCCTCAGCCCAGCCCCTCCTGCTCCACCTCACCCCTGTTGCCTCCTCACAGCCTGAGGAAGCGGAGCTTGTGCATTTTCCTCTTCTCTGCAGTCCTTAGCCCTCTCCAGCTCCTCCTAGCAAACCTTCGAAGCTAACGCGTTAATAATAGCCAGCATCGCCTGCTGAACAGAAGTTTTGTGGAGGATCTCAAACCAGTAACTTACAACTTTCCCTAAACCAGGAAATTTGGGAAATAATAGATGATTAAAACGAATGCATCCAGAGTGACGTCTGTCTTCCTTCTAGACGGGGAAATCCTCTACATCTGTGCAAAGAGCGGTTTAAGAAGATCCAGAAGCTGTGGCACCAGCACAGCATCACAGAGGAAATCGGACACGCACAGGAAGCGAACCAGACACTGGTCGGCATTGACTGGCAGCATTTATAGTCACTTCGCTACCAAAAATATAAACTTGGATTTTTGTAACCCAGTGGCTTTTCAAGAAAGAGTATAGGAAATAAGTTCTCCTGGATTTGGAAGTAATTCTCCATTTAAGCTTTTCTTCCCAGTTTTATTTTTATAGTTTCTGGATCCAGAGACTGATAGAATCATCCTCCGTCAGCAGATTTTCTTGCACCATTTGCCATGTCCTTCAAACGTAACTTCTTGCGAGGAGCTTCTCTCGGCTGGACTGGGCCTGTATGTGGGCACCTGACTGCGTCCAGCCGTTCCCAGGGGTCTGAGCTGTGTACCATGACCGATCCCAGGTCACTCCAGACTGAAGCGGATTTGACAGTCGCGGGAAACAGTCTCTGGCCTGTGGGGGTCCCACTTCCGGGTCCCTGTCAGTGACTCAACACTGGGACGGGGTCAATGTCCCCTCTGCTGATGGGCCCCTACCTCTAAGAGCAAAGCAGTGGAATTAGAAAGTGGCGTTTCCTTGTCGCAGTCAGCTGGGAGAGGGTTGGGGCACTTGTGCACAAGGAGCCCCTGGGAGGGAGGGAGGGAGGGAGGGAGGTCGTTTCTTCATATGCTGGGTGGTTTTCAGGGCTGTGGAAGGTTGGATTTTTTTTTTCTTTTTTGGGGGCAAGACTTTCGGCTTTGAGAGAAAAAACTCATTCTAAAGGGCTTTTTGAAAATCAGAGTATCCTAATTTTTCAGACGATATATTCTCTTATTTCTAAGATTAAACAGACCATGCATCTAGAATCAAACGCTAGCAAAAAAAAAAAAAGAGTACTCAGTGTTTTTGAGGTTCCCCACCCTCACCCCTACTAGCATTTCCTGGAATAGATGATCACTGTTTACCTACTGGCTCACTTAGTACATTCCTGGGACAGCCTCTGTGCCCAGGCTTTTTATTATTTGTAAACATTGTTTTTACTGAGAGGTGCCTTCCTAGAATGAGAGCCGCTTAGTAAACTGGCTTCTAACCATTACATGCCGCACAGCCACGCTCATTTGATGTATGTGTGCTGAGAGCTTGGACTACACACACACACAGTGATGGCACATTTCGTGGAGAGATAAATTCAGAGCCTCCCCAAGGTGGGGCTCAGGGACAAAAGAATCATGAAAGGCTTTGGGGGTTTTTTAGCCAATGCAAGTAACCCTTTTATTCAGTTTTGTTTGAGCTGCATCTGAAAGTCCCATTCCACTCAGCATGGCACACTTCAGCCTACCCAGGAGGGAGGTCAGAAAGACAGGCTTCAGGCTCAGATGAGCGGGGACACGGAAACTGTGTCGCTGCTTCCTCTAAGGCGGCCTCCTGAAAGGGTGACCTTGGCTTCTCTCGCTTGGGGCTGGCCCACCCAGCTAAGAGGAGGTGTTTCTCACTCAATAGGAAGAAAGTCTGAATGAGAACCCAGAGCTCCCTCCCTTTTTCTGGCCATTCCTAACATCTGGTGTGAGCGGTTCAGGCGGCATCATGATTATAATTTCGGCCTTTGTCACATCCCCTTTCCTTGGGCTTTTAGATCCAGCTTCTTTTGACTTTTCTCAATGTTCGCCAAGATTGAATTTTTAGTGATAAAGATCAGGTTTCTCCCTCGTAAATGAATTATAGACTTTTTCACCAAGTCCTGACAGTACTCCAGCTTTCAGGGCTGACTTCACAGAAGCCTGTCGTTAGCAGAGTGTCCCTGGGTGCCATTCTCTGAGAATGTCAGGGGGTCGGAAGTAAGAGGAGATTAATTTACATGTGCGCTTTATCTTCTGGTGTTGGCATCATTAAGATAATTGTCTTCCCTACCTAACGAATCTTCTTAGTTTTATGATTGGTTCCACATGTATTATGTTTATTGTGGAAATGTTTATGTAACATGCTTTTCATATCAGGGAAAATCCTATCTGTAATAAATTGGCTATAACTTTAATATCTGGAAAACTTGTAAAATTTGGAATGTATCATATGTAAAAAGTTTAAAGATATCCAAATAAATGCTTTAGGTGTTGACATTACTTTGGGTATGCCTAGTTCTCTTTCTGTTTTGTTTCACACACTTCAGTACCGTGGAAGTGTTCCCCATGTCACCTTGCTATAAATAAATTGGGGCATCTGTATTAGCTTGAAATTTAAGATGCTTATATTATTAGTGTCAGTGATGGCCATGAGCTAAACGCTCTTGACCTTCCCAGAGAAAGCTTCATCATCATTTCAGCTGATTAAGTTTCATGGTCATTGGCTACAACAGTGATGTGAGGTCCATTATGGACCTCACATCACTGGGAAAACAGGCCACTCGAAGCCTCTCCCAGCTCCAAGACCCATCTCCAGGTTTAAACTCTCCTTTCCCATCCTTACCTAGTGATCTCCAGGTCTGTGTTCTTACACATGCCCCAGATACTTCCTGTTTATACAGACACGTGTAGGAAGGGAGCTGCATCCTGTGTTTGCAGGGGAGGTAGTGCCTACCCCTGTGAGAGCTCTGCTGTGCTTTTCAAAAGGCTCTTGAAAGCATCAGACTGAAAAGGCAGGGTTTCCCCTGTGCTTTCCCTGTCCCCTGCTCATTCTTCCAGCGTCCTCCCTTCCCTGGTCCTCATGTCATCAGTTCCAAGACTCATTAAGCCCTCTGATACACTCCTACCTCTGTCCCTACGCTTATTTTTTTAAGTCAGGTTTTTTGAGGTTTATTTTACAGATAATAAAATTCACACATTTTAGTGGACAGTTTCCTACATTTTGACAAATGCGTATAGTTTAACAACCTCCACAATCAAGAAACAGAATAGTTCCATCACCCCAAGAAGTTCTCTCTTGCCCCTTTGTGGTCACCTGACCCCTAGCAGGACCCCTAATCTTTTTCTGTTCCTTTGTCTTGCCTTTCCCAGAATGTTACATAAATGTATCAGATATCTTATGTAGCCTTTTGAGCCTGGCTTCTCTGAGAGAAGCCATTAGAGCAGCGGTTCTCAACCTGTGGGTTGCAACCCCTTTGGGGGTCGAACGACCCTTTCACAGGGGTCGCCTAAGACCATCGGAAAACAAAAAGATATTTACATTACGATTCATAACAGTAGCAAAATTACAGTTATAGAGTAGCAACGAAAATAATTTTATGGTTGGGGGGTCACCACAACATGAACTGTATTAAGGGGTCGCGGCATTAGGAAGGTTGAGAACCACTGCATTAGAGTCATCCATGTTCCTTTTGATTGCTGAGTCCTATACTACTGTGCACATACAGCAGAGGAATTTCTGTGAAATAGCCGCGCACACACCCCCATCTATCTTTTGTTTGCATCACCAGGTGAAACTTAGCCAGTCACCAGGTGAAGGACATTTGGGCGATTTTTGGTGATTGAGTAACGCCACTGTAAACATTTATGTACAGGTTTCTTTGTGTGGACCTACATTTTCACTTCCCTTGGGTAAATAGCTGAGCGTTTTCCTTTGTATACTCATCCTCTGTTGAACAAGATAGAGTGCCATCAGGAGTTAATGACCGATGTATCCTCCCTTCAAGCCAATCTCAAGTCCCCTGAGGACTGGGAAGGCATCCTCTCTCCCTGGATTTCCATAGTAACCCCCCACATTCCTGTTAATAACAGGGCGCTGGCTGGTTGCTGGCTGCACTGTCATCAGAGCCATCTTTTTATCCAATAGCAGGTCAGACACTCTAATTGTCTTGGTCTCCCCACCCCACCCCACCCCCATCCCTGGCTAAGCTGCAAACCTGCTGGCCTAGCATTACAAGTGCCCAGGCGAGGAGGCGCAGGGCAGTGTGCAGAGCGAGCCCCTAATCTTATTGACCCGTATTGAGGTTACTCGGGGTTTATTTGCCAGTGGCTCAGTCCTGGTCTTGAAGGTTGCAAGCTAGGGCTATGGGTTCATGAGCTGAGGCCACAAATTCTAGGACACCCGTCATCTTTAATGTTCAGAATAAAAGCTATTCCCTCCTTCACTGTGGAGTTTTAAAAATAAAAGTCCTAAGGCACTGTCTTTACCTCTTACCCTACCCCAGGGCCAGGCTGGCAGGACTTAGGAAACTGGCTGAGTACCTTGGGTGAAGTGAACTGCACTGGTCCAAGGAAAGACAGGTTAGACACAAGTACCCGCCTTACTGGGCTCTGGCAGATGACCAGAAGAGATGGGCCAGCTTTCTCTGGCGACTGCCTGACTTCCTGAGAAGACCTATTAAAATGGCAGCTCACCAAGGCGGCTCTGAACCAACTGGTGATGTTTATCAGAGGGTCAGTTTGCCTTTAGTCCTCCCAACAGCTCTCAGCTGCTGAGGTTGCTCACATCTGTCCCGTAACCTGACCCCATAGAGACTCATTCTCCTGTTTGGGGAAATACATTTTGACCAGAGCAGGAAAAAAAAAAAAGTATGGAATTTTTGCCTAAATCAAGAAATTAAGATTCCACATATTAAAATGTTAGGTAAACTCAGCCCTCAGCCCAAACTTGAGCAAATGTTGAGATTATTTGGATAACCTAATAGTCACTGTTGTTAAAGATAAGCGATAGCAGCAGGGGGCGAGGCGACGCCCATGCTGTTGAAACACAGCTACCCTGATCTTTAACAATGCTTCCTTTCAGTGTCAGGTTTTGTTTTGTTAGAAACTATTAGCTAGAGTTGAGAGTCCTGTGATACATACTGCTGAATAGGCTAAGAGCATTTTCATACAATACACAAAAGTGATTTTCATACAATATAAATTTAATGTCTATTGTACAGCTGTTGACAGCATAGGTACACATCTGGGCCAAAGCAGCATTTCCACGATGGTTCTCAGCAGTCCTGAGAGGGGAGAGGGTTCCAGGACCCTCGGCAGAGACACCAGACTCCAATGTGGATCGTTCCTTAGTCTTGAGGAGACTCAAAAGTCAAACCTGGGATGAAAGTCTGACAGTGTCCACACACCTTTGATCTGGTCTTAAGCCTGAAAGAATGAGAGCCCCAGGACATACCCCAGGCAGCCCCAGAAGTCTTATTTTCTCCACACTGAAAAAGGACCGCAATGAAATCATTCTCCTACCGAAAAAAAGGACTCCCTTTCTCTTTTTCCTGAAGGAACTGAAAACTTCTCTTGCAGTTGCTAGCTCAGGAAGATGGGCTATCTCGAAGAACCTTCTTTAATGCAAAGGCATTCCAGATATGTTGCTTTGAAGGGTGAATATCTGGGGAAAGAAACAGGAGGAAGCTCCCAGAGGACTCTGCCCTCCACTGCAGACAGTTAGTGTCGCCCATGGGAGCTGTCACGGCCACCTGTGTGGGCATCCCTGGGCCCAGCGAGAGGTGAGGCCTGGCCTCCAAAGGGTGGACTCCTGTCTGATTGTTGCTTCTCTCCCACAAAAGGGCGGCCATCTCAGTGCTTCCACAGATGCGCCAACTGAGGTCACCCAGCCCTTTCTGGGTGGGGTGTTGCTGAAACACGCCAACAACTTGACTTCCTCAGCCCATGGCTCACTCCTGGCTAAGTGAGGGCATGCTGGGGGTTAATAATCCTTGCCTGAGTTCTGATGCCCCATAATTGAAAAATTCTTTTGAGCCTTCAGTGCTTTGGAGAGTTCATTACTCTTGGAAGAGTATCACTGTCCCCCACCTTCCACCATTGAACAAAAAAAAATGGCTGACCTGTCAATCTTGATATTAAAAAGAAAAAATGACATGACCAGTACATTTCTTCAGACTCCCGAGCTTATTATGCACCTAGTGACGCTTTCGATGTAGAATGAAGCAACTTGGAGCTCATAATGGCAAACTCATCAAAGGGGAGCAGCCCTCAGGCGTGGCCAGTAGCCTCGGTGGAACTGAGTTCGGGTGCTGTGAGAGACAGGTTGTGGGCATAATCATCCCTGAGAGACCTCCTGAGTCCACCATGAGGGTATATCCTAGGGCAGTGGGCCTGAGGGGGCTCATTCACTCACACTTTGAGTCAGTCATTCAAGAAATGTTTGCAAATGCTTTTAGGGACCTTAAACTTTCAATCCCACCATTAAGAAGAGTCTCTGTAAGATGACCGCCCTCCTTGGGAGATTGGGATTGGACGAGGGGGGTATCCGCCTTTCGTAGAGTCCACTACCTCTCAGTGTTCAGGAGGGGAGGGGGCCCCGGGGCCATCAGCCAGCCTCGGGGGCCTGGCCTTCGTCTGCGCCCTCTACTGCCACCTGGTTATTCTTGCCCAGCTTTTTCAAGCTCTCCAGAAAGGCCTTCCAGGTCTCGGGCATGCTCTTTTCCAGCAGCCAGCCCTCGCTTTCACACTCAGGGTCCTCAGGGTTGGCCACGCCTTCCAGTGCCGTGTGCAGGTAGCGCAGCCCAATCGTGGTGGTCACCTGGCAGGGAGAGAGAGGAGACTTAGAGGGGATCTGGGAGAAGTAGCTGGGGATGGGGGCTATTAGGAAACTATGGAAGCCTAATTCAGTGTGAGGGTCCTTCCAATGAGGTGGGCTCTGGTAAGTGTGGGTTGGTGAGAGCCTGCCGGCCCCAGCCTGTCCTGGGCATTCAGGATACCTGCCTCCATTCAGCCTCATCTCCCACCTATTCCCATCCCTTTCCAGCCACCCTGGGCTTCTTTGGATCCCACTGCACCCCATCTTTTCTCTTCCCCAGTCTTTACCATTGGCTGTTTCCTCTGCCTATAACATTGTTCTTCACTTTCCACCTGTTGATTCAGCTTCAGCCCTGGCTGGCTGAGAGCCCCTACTCCTCATTCTTCCTCCCCGCTTCCTGTCGGGTCTCGCCTATCCTGGGCTCCTTCTCTCTGTGCCCTCCCCCCACCCCCCAGTTCCTAGCATGTTGCTTGGCATATATTGGGTGTTCAGTAACTATTTGCTGGACAGAAGTTAAAGGTGACCTCCTTTTCTGCAAACAGTACGCTGTGGTTTCCTCTACCTGCTTTATCTTGAGTAGTGTGGGGACGAGTGGGTGATTTGCTTAGATCTGTGCACTAGCAGTCACTGGGGCAGACTCTGGTGCCAAACTGCCTGGATTCAAACCCTAGCCCTGGCACTCAGCCAGCCATGTGAAAAGGAAACCTCAGTTCACTCATCTGGTTTGCAGATTTTCAGATGACGTGTCACCTGGTTCATGTGCGTGCTGTGACACTTCAGTGTGTGTAGAACGTGGCACCTGGTACACAGGATGAACAGAAGTGTCAGCTGTGGTCAGTTATTAGTCTGCGTGGTAAGTATTATTTTTACTTTTCTAATAATGTACTGCATTTTGCCATGTATAATGTGCTCCCATGTATAATGTGCACCTACATCTTTGTCCCAAACTTTCAGGGAGAAAATCTTTCGTTTTAATTTTTTAATTCAAATTTTTATTTGTTTACATTTAGGTACTTGGGGGTTTTTTTGTATTATAAAGGAATTTTAGCATTTATTTTTTAACATATTATGGTACAAGAAATTTCATGTAACAAATAATTACAAAACACAAGAAGAGATACAAGGTACAAGAAATTTTATGTATTGGTAACAAACTTACAATATTTATGCATCATAGAAGGCCAAGAACTCTTTTTTTTTTTTTTAAGATTTTATTGGGGGATGGGGGAAGGGGAACAGCGTTGGGGAATTGGGGAAGGGGAACAGACAGGTAGACAAATTGCTGTTTTGTTCTTCAGTCTAGTTGTGGAGGATGTCGCTTCACTGGCCCATGTTGGTATGATCATTGTGCTCTTCCCGGGTGAGGCAATCGGTCGCTGATCATTGGTCGGCCGCTCACAGCGGCTCCTGGCAGCTCACACTGGCTGCCAGCCACTCACATAGCTCATGGCAGCCCACTGCAGCCCCGCTGTAGCCTACGCCCAGCAGCCCAGCTCCAGGTCAAGCTGTTGTTCATCATCTTAGCTGTAGAGGGCAGTGTCACTGGCCCTCATGTGGGATCCAAACCAGGGCCCTGCTGCTCAGAGCTGGCATCCCAAGCAAGCTCTTAACCAGCTGAGCCACTCGGTCGGGCCAAGGCCAAGAACTCTTCTATGTTTCAAGTTCATCGTAAGTTCAACAAAACCAATTATTGTATTCTAGGGTATTATTTTGCATATGGATATCATTATTGATTTCTACAGTTACACTTTTAACTCATAAGCATAAATAAAAGAATTAAAAACATTTATATAGATATGGAATTATCTATATAAATGTGGAATTAGTACTACCCATGTATAATGCACATCCTTATTTTTCCCTCACAAATTTGGACAAAAAGGTGCACATTATACATGGCAAAATACGGTATTGTGTTAGCCACTTGTTTCTACACAAATTCCTGGTTTGCTCTCTTATATTTCTCCTTTGGTGGTAGAGCAAACTCCGTGAGAGGACTAGGCCTGCTAAAGGAGAACATCTGCCCCCTGACAGCAGAGGTGACCCTGATCCATCTGGTTCACCCCGTATCCCAGCCCCACAACAGCCCTGGGTAGTAGTAAGGCCTCAGTAAACCTCTTCTGAATGAATGCTGTGGAGGCATTTTATAATTATGGTAGTAGATGATAACAGTAACTACAGAGTTTTAGGTTTTTGTTATTGTCAATTGAAAGCTTAATATTTTTATAGTGGAAAAACTCACCTCCTCCTGGAAATCCTTCTGGCGTGCATGCACACACTGTGCTCCCCTCCTGCTGCATTATGAGTATTGCACTTGGTAATGGTCTTCACTTAGGCTCATGAATTAGGTGTCATCTCCTCACTGGATCGTGAAGCCCAGGAGGGAAAGGCTCAGCGCAGATCCTATCTTAGCCCAGCCACCCTGACGCCCATCACAAAGCTCTGCCTCACGTAAAAATCAGGGGCATTCAAGCTTCCTGTTCACAGTGAGCTGGTTCTCATCTTATGCAGTACCTAGATTCCTAGAAAAGTGGGTAAACTGAGAGGTGGCCAATAGAACTCCATTTTCTCACTGACTTCCATTACCCTTCAGGGGACATGCTCTTCCAACCTTCTAGCAGTAACCTTCTCTCCTGATTCTACCCACTCATTCCCAAGACTCAGCCTCAAAGGAGTCAGTGACCATTAAATCTTCATGAACGTGCTTGTGTTTGCCTCAACATTAAAAGAAGCCCTCCTCCCCGCCTCATCTCCAGGAAGTACAGTCCCTCTAGTGTGATGCGGTGTGTTAGAAGTGGTGTATCTCAGCTGAGGGCACAGTTGCATTGAGTATTTCCATGGCACTAAGAGACTCACTCAAAGGAAACTTTCAGTGAATCTTCTCTGATGGAAAAAGTTTTCACACCTAATATTTCTGATTTTGTACGTCTGGATTTTGGAGTCTGGATCTTCTGTTGTCAGCTCAAAGCAGGAGCTCAAGTCACCCTCTGTGCCACCTTGGTCTACCACTCACTCACAGGAGCTCTGGTTCAGCACCCAGGACAGCGCCCAGCACACGGTAGGTTTGCCAACTCTCTTCAATAAATGAATGAATCCAGCACATTCCCTGCGGGCTTGCTGCATTCCAAGCTCTGTAGCTACAGAGAAGAATTAGGCCTTACAGCTGAGATAAGATGAAGCCATAAATAACTGGAATAACAGGCAAATGGTGATGACATCTTGAGAGAAGCCTAAGTCCTAACAGCTCACAATTACTGAGCACCGTACCTATTATCTCCTGTTGCTTCCCAGTGGTCCCAGAGCTAAGGGCTGTCAGCCCTCTGTAACAGCGAGATTAAATAATTTTCTAAAACCTCAGAACTCAAAAAGTGGGGGAACAGGATAAACCTTCAAAACAAAAAGTGAAAGAAGCCAGACACAAAAAGGTCACCTATGATATGATTCCATTTATATGAAGTAGGCAGAATAGATAAATCCACAAAGACCATAGATTGGAGGCTGCCAGAGGCTGGGGGGAGAGGGGATGGGGAGTGACTGCTCAATGGGTATGAGGTTTTCTTTGGGGATGATGGAAGTGTTTGGGAACTAGGCAGAGGTGGTGGTTGCACACTATTGTCAATATACTACATGCCACTGAATTATTCACTTTAAAATGAATTTTAGCGCCCGCCGAGTGGTGCGTTGGTTAACAGCTGGCTTGGGACGCCGGCTCTGAGCAGCAGGGTCCTGGTTCGGATCCCACATGAGGGCCAGTGACACTGCCCTCTACAGCTAAGATGGTGAACAACAGCTCAACCTGGAGCTGGGCTGCCCTGAGTCGCCGGCGACAGCGTAGGCTGCAGTGAAGCTGCAGTGGGCTGCCATAAGCTACCATGTGTGGCCGGCAGCCAGCATGAGCTGCCAAGAGCCGATGTGAGCTGCCAAGAGCCGCCGTGAGCAGCCGTCCAGAGGCCGGCAACCGATCTGCCTCACCCGGGAAGAGCACAATGATGATACCAACATGGGCCAGTGAAGCGACGTCCTCCACAGCTAGACTGAAGAACAAAAGAGCAGCAACTTGTCTGTTCCCCCTCTTCCCCCGATTCCCCAGCACTGTTCCCTCCCACAATTCCCCAATGAAAAAATCTTTAAAAAAAATAATAAAATGGTGAATTTTATGTTCTGTAAATTTTACCTCAATAAATTACTTTTTAAGTGATAAGACAGAAACAAACAAAAGTGGAGGTGCTGAGGTTCAAGTCCAGGCCCGCCTGACCCACAGCTAAACAGAGGGCTGGTTCCCAGCCATGTGCTCCAGGTGCAGCTCCATTCCATTAAATCCAACTGCAGCGTGTGGCTCCCCTCCCCCCAACCCCACCCCAGGCCATCTGGCCTGGGCCTACCTCAAAGATCCAGATGAGGAGCGTGATGGCGCCTATGGAGTTCATGAGGCTGCTGTAGTAGCTCAGCAGGGCGGCCCTGCAGCCGCTCAGCCACAGGTTGAGCTCCTCCGTCTGGTGGTCGTAGCTGTAGTGCGCCGAGTTGTTGGTGAGCTGGTACTGGATGCAGGGCCGTGGCGAGCTGGGGTTGCAGCAGCTGAAGGGGACGCCATCCACCAAGTACCGCCCATCCACGTTGCTCTTGATGCGACTGGGGGAGAAACTGACAGCTTGCTAGAGGCTTCTGGGACTTCCCACCTGGCTCCAGTTCCTCCCATCCCCCACCTCTGCAAAGCTAGAATATTCATCCATTTATTTATATGCCCGCTCAGTAAATCCTTGCTGTGCACTTACTATGTGCCAGCTACTGTGCACTGCCAGGCCCTGGCATGCAACGACTTCTTGGAACCATGGCAGGCTGGCAGGAAGAGCCGCAGGACAGGCCGTGACCATGGACAAGGCTCTGCCTCGCATTTGCGACCAACAGCCTTTAGCCCCCAGACCCTTCTCCAACCTCTTCTCCCCCTTTCTGGTCACTGGGGACCAAGACCTCCTTTGGCTAGATCAGTTCTGCTCAATAGATGTTCCCAGAAGGCCTGCTCTGCCTGGGCAGGGAGGGGCAGGGGATGAGACAGGCACTTGGCTTGCTCACCATCCACAGTGAACTCTGCCCCCAGCCAGGTGGGAGCTCCTTACTCACCTGAAAGATGCAGCCCTCGTAACTTTTGCATATTAATGTACATGTTTGGTTAGAGCACACCATACATTCGTGTGGGTTAGGAATTCAAAAGGGTCAGACATCTTCAAGGTAAAAGTTCTCCCCTCCCCATCAGGCAGCCTGGATATGTTCTACCTGACCTGAGCTAGGTTACCCAGGCATCTTTATAAAGTGTCAAAATCCATCGAGGGGGGGGGGGGGGGGGGGAATTTCATCGAGCGGCACACATACAATTTGCATGCTTGACTGTATGCATGTTATCTTGAGTAAAAAAGGTTTTTTTAAGTTGCACATGAACAATGCATTCCATAAGCTAGCTTTTACAACACAACAATAGAAAGCCTGTAATTGGTTTCAACAATGTTCATTGAAATGATAATTATGTTCTTTAAAAAGTTGCCCATGTTTAGTTTCTACATAAAACCTCCTTAAGACAAAAGTCTCCCACTCATTCTTGTCCCTGGGCCGCCAAGTCCCCCTGCTGTGGCCAGCTCTATCTGTCCTTCCAGGGAGCCTTCGTGCCCAGACAAGCAAGCACAGACTCTACAATGTTATTCTTCCTGGGTTTTTCTTTTTTTTTAACCGTTCTTTTTTCCCTTTGCAATATCTTAGAGATTTTTTTATATCTGTCAATCGGGAGTGTTCTCAGGTTTTCAAAGAGCTGCAGGGTATCCCCACGTGGGGTGCAGGTGGCCCATGGGGTGCTGTCCAGTCCCCCATGATGGACCTTTGGGGCTTCCCAGTCTCCTGTTAATACAAACATGGATGTGGGTCATCTTGCATATTGTGTATCCACCTGGAAGGGTAAATTCCTAGAAGAGGCATTCCTGCATCAAAGGGCAGGTCCATCCGTCCGCCAGGTACTTCCTGGATTTCTCCTCCTTGGGCTGTACAAGCACACCCCACCAGCCCCACGTGACAGAGCCTGCCCCCCACAGCTACACCCACACAGGCTGGATAGATGATAGACAGAAGAAACCTGGTAGGTGAAAAATAGTATCTCAGAGTTGTTTTAATTTCCATTTTTCTCGTTATGACTGAAGCTGAGTATCTTTCAATCTGTTTAAGAGCCATCTGTAGTGCTCACTTGGGCAGCACATATACTAAAATTGGAACCGTACAGAGAAGATGAGCATGGCCCCTGAGCAAGGATAACAGGCAAATTTGTAAAGCATTCCATATTTTTACTTAATAAAACTTGAGACTATTAAAAAAAAAAAAGACCCAGTTAGTTAGTTCCTTTTCAGTGAACTGTCCTTTGCTGTCCAGTATGATTAAAGCTTCAGGAAGGCTCTGTCTGCACAGTGCAGCCTCCTCAGTTCCAGAACAATCCTTGCCTGGGTTGTGGCGACCATATTTCCATACGCCCTGTAGTCCCTGACCTCTGCTTCATGAACAGGACCCACTGCTCAAAGAACAGGTGGCCTTGGGAGTACAGGAAGTCCAGGTGATAAGAGCAGGATGCCAGGGGTTACTCCCAGTTCACCCCTCTGGACAAGTTCCCTAACCTCTCTGGGCCTCAGTTTCCTCATCTTAAAATGGAGTTGACATGAGGATCATATGAAGGGTTACATGTGAAAAGGCTTAGAAGAGTACCTGGTACCTAGTAAGCGCTTAATGGGCCAGGGCTGGATGGGTGCAGAGCAAGAGACTGCACTGTGTGCTCTGTGCGCCCTCAGGGAACAGCTGTGACAATGGGACATACCACACCATATTGCTGGGGAACAGTCACTTGCAAGTGGGTTGCATGGGCTCTGCCAACTGTGGAGAAGAAGCTATGAGCGCCTTGTGTGAGAACTCAACCACAAGCCCTCAATGGGGACAGTGAGACATTGGTCCACTGACAGAATCGGCTGCCACTGAAGTTTTTGCTCAAGCCCTGTTGACGGCCATAAGCGCGAACCACCCCCATTTTGAGCTGCCAGCAGCCCCAGCATGCCTGAGCAGATTCCCTCCCCAACACCAACCCCAACGCGTCCTCCTCAAGGCTAGGGGTCTCCAAACTCAAATGCTGTTTGTCCCCATTCCTGACAGGCTGTCCCTTGAGCCCATTCCCACTGGCACAATATCCCATGTGGGCCATCCCCAATGTCCCTGTGGAAAGAGAGTCCCAAATCTGCATTTGTGAGCAGATTTCATATTTGTGATCTGCATTTGATGCATCTCTCTAAACCTGTGTGAGGGGGGGTTAAATGAGAATGCAAGGCGTGCACTTGGCTGAGGCCCTCAGAGAATGTTGGCTCCTCCCCACTGAAGGCCATCTGGGTGGAACCTTGCAAATCACCAGATTGTTGTGCAGAGGAGGAAGTGGGGCCCAGAGCAGGGCAAGGCCTCACCCAGAGCCACACAGGAAGTGGCCCACAGCAGTTGGCCTCTCCTCATTTCAGAATTTCCTCAGTGTCTCTCAGAACCTTCCTGCCTGTTGGCTCTTTGAGTTAAACTCCCCAGGAAAGCATGAGTTCACTCCCACCTCCTGTCCCAGCAGCAGCTCTGTCCTGTCTACCATCATCTCTCCTTATGCACAGGTGTCCCTAAGCTGGGTGAAGCCTGCAGACCTGCCTCATACAGACTACATGTGTGTCTGAAGGCGGGGGGACCAGGCCTGTGGTTGTGTGGGCTGACGCCAGCAGAGGTTCTGAGCTGCCTTAATCTGCAGGCAGGCCTTCTGGACAGACTCCGTCTCCCCACCTCACCTCGGACCCCCAGTGGAGAAGCCACCCTATTGACCTCCTCAAGGCAGGGCTGTGTCTCCCCTCAGACTTGGGCTCCCTGAGGGCAGGGCCATGTCTCCCCTCAGACTGGGGCCTCCTGAGGACAGAGCTGTGTCTCCCCTCAGACTGGGGCTTCTTGAGGACAGAGCTGTGTCCCCCCTCAGACTGGAGCCCCCTGAGGGCAGGGCTGTGTCTCCCCTCAGACTGGGGCTCTCTCAGGACAGGGCCCAGGTCAACATGGGGGTGGCAGGCCTGGCTTATTGGAAGTTGGGATTTCCCTGGGCCCCCAGCTTGGGACCTCTTGGGGGTTCACACCTCTGGAACTCATCTTCCCTCTCCCGCATAAGCAATATCTTGTTTTCCCAGTGCTTTCCCTGATTCCAACCACAGTAAAGCCCCACTCACCCTCTTAAGACAAAGCCAGGTAGAGGAGAGCTCCTTAGGTGGTGAGCTGGATATTTATATCAGAGTATCTCCCAGGCTACAAGTCTCGCTCTGCTCAGGGCTCACCAGGGTTTATAAGGGTCTTGACTGAAGTAAGGCCTGTGTTCTCGCCCACTCTCCCATGGCCAAGCCACATATGACTCAGAAAAATCATCATGTCAGAGTTTTTCTGGAAAACCTAACATAATTTAGTCAGTGAATCAATAAATTAATGAAGAAAGCCATATGGAAATGAGCAGGACCGGGAGGAGGGAGGCAGGAGTATAACCCATGAGCCAACCCTCAGCTGAAGGCTAGCTGCGTGACCCCTGTGGAGCCTTAGCAACTCGCGTGACCTCTGTGAGCCTCAGTTTTCTCATCTGAGAAATGACAGTGTAAGTACCTGACAGGGCTGTGGTGGAGATTAAATGGGATAATACACATAGAGCACCTGGGATACAGCAAGGGCAGTGTTAGTATTTCTGTAAAGATTTCTTTTTTGAGTAGTCACTGGATATGAAGTTCTGTAGGTGGTGAAGGAGGACTTAAAAAGAGGGAGACACATCTCCGACCTCAGGAAGCCCCAATCGAGGGGAGACACAGCCCTGCCCTCAAGGCCCCAGTCTGAGGGAGAGACACAGCCCTGCCCTCAAGGCCCCAGTCTGAGGGGAGAAACAGCCCTGCCTCAGGGAGCCCCAGTCTGAGGGGAGACACAGTGTTGTCCTCAGGGAGCCCCAGTCTGAGGGGAGACACTGCCCCATCCTTAGGGAACACCAGTCTAAGGGGAGACACAGGATTCAGCTCCTCTCTCTGAAGGTCTCCCCCAGTTAAAACAGAGTATCCTCCACTAATCTCTCCCCAAGACCAGCAGGCTAGGGAGGGAGGGAGAAAGTAAACACGATGCAATCGGCCACAGGCAGCTGTTCCTGGTTTTTGTGGGGCCACCTCGTGAATATCTGAGACCCTGGCACAGAAGTACTGGAATCCAGTCAAAATCCACAGGTGTTTTTTGAGCCTACATCATCTCTGCCCATACCTTCCACTGTCCCTGTGGAGGAGGAAGTGAAGAACAAGACAGAGACAAGAAGAAGAAGGAGAATGAGGCACTGCCCCCACCCCGCCTCCCAGGGGGGTCTGGAGAATTCCAGGTTTCAGTCTGTCAGAAAACAAAGATTTCTTTCTCACCAAATATGTACAAGATGCCCTGTGACATCACTGGAAATCAGAATTAAAATCTGGTACTCCACACGATAGGATGTTATTCAGACATAACAGGAACGAAGTCCTGACACAGGCTGCCACAGGGATGAACTCTGCAGACATTATGTTGAGCGAAAGAAGACAGACGTTAAAAGACAAATACTGTGTGATTCCATTCAAATGAGATGTCCAGAACAGAGAAGGCAAGAGAGACAGAAAGTAGACTGGTGGTTCCTGAGGGCAGGGTCATGGGAGGCTGGGGAATGAAGGCTAAAGGCTGTAGAGTTTGTCTGTGAAGTGATGCAAATGTTCTAAAATTGACTGCGGTATCGGTTGCACAACTCGGTGAAGATACCAGAAACCACTGAATCACCCACTTTAAATGGGTAAGTTGTGGGCTGGCCGAGTGGTGTGTTGGTTAGGAGTTGGCTTGGGACGTCAGCTCTGAGCATCAGGTTCCCAGTTCAGATCCCACATGAGGTCCAGTGATGCTGCGCCCTCTACAGCTAAGATGGTGAACAACAGCTCGACCTGGAGCTGGGCTGCCAGGAGTCACCGGCGACGGCGGCGTAGGCTGCAGTGAGGCTGGCCGGCTGCTGGCGTGAACTGCCGTGAGCCACCGTGAGTGGCCATCCAATGGCCAGCGAGCGAATGCCTCACCCGGGAAGAGCACAATGATAATACCAACATGGGCCAGTGAAGCAACGTCCTCCACAACTAGACTGAAGAACAAAAGGACAGCAACTTGTCTGTTCCCCTTCCCCGATTCCCCAACGCTGTTCCCCTCCCCCAATTTCCCAATAAAATCTTTAAAAAAAAAAAAAAGAAGTAAATAAAAATAATCTAAATACCTGCCTAAGTGTCCATCTGTTCTGTGGAATATTATGCAACTGTTAAACATGATCGGTTTTAGACAAATACTGCATGATATCACTTATATGTGGAATCTAAAAAAGCCAAATGCATAGAAACAGAGACTAGACTTGTGGTTGCCAGGTCCTGGGGGGAAAGGGGAGATGTAGATAGATCAAAGGGTACAAACTTCCAGTTATAAGATCAGTAAGTTCTGGGGATCTAAAGTACAGCATGGTGACTATAGTTAACAATCTTGTATTATATACTTGAAAGTTGCTAGGAGACTAGATCTTTTTTTGTTTTTTTTTGTTTGTTTGTTTTTTTTTTAGCTGAGCCATCCTGCTACCTATTGGCAGCTTAGCGGCTGCTCAGCTCGGGCTGGCCTCGAACTGCTGTTGCTCAGAGCTCAAACTCTTGAGCGAGCTCTTAACCAACTGAGCCATTCGGCCGGCCCGCTAGGAGACTAGATCTTAAACGTTCTCACTACAAAAAAGAAATGGTAATTATGGGATGTAATGCAGGTGTTAACTAGTGCTGGGGTGGTAATCATTTTGCAATATACAGAGGGTGCCAAAAAAATGTATACACAATTTAAGAAAGGAAAAAACTGTATTAAAATTGTAATACTCGATATATACTGATGACAAACGATGAATATAAGTCACGTTTGACTTCTGCAATTGCAAGAGGTGCTTGAAGTCGTTACCATCAGCATCCAGACACTTATGATTACGGCGAACTACTGCTTGAGCAACGTTGACCAAAGTGTCCACTTGTATACATTTTTTGGCACCCCCCATTGAATGTGTTAAAATACAATGTAAACCTTAAACTTACACAATGTTATTTGTCAATTATATCTCAATAATGCTGGGGGGGGGGAATGATCGTTTTGATTTGAATATTTCTGCCAATGTTGTACTATTAAGTTGCAAAATGAGGCACTCGATTGTATTTATACCACGGTTATATTATGTTATTATGTAAATGGTCACAAGACTAAGCTAAAATGTGAAAAAGTTGAAGCCACTGATTAGTTGTAGATGAGAATCTGACTTGAGTTTCTTTTCCTGTTTTTGTTTCTCTTAATGTTGTCACCATGGTTTTTGTGGGTAACAGAGACACTTCTTTCTAAGTCAGTGGAGTTAGGATAGTTTAACACCAATGAGTTGGTGTGGAGCATTGAGGTACTTTTGACTAAGCTTAATGGGACTGACCCTGTGCAGAAAACACCAAGGAAAATGACAGGAAAAGATGAAAAGCCTCTCTCATCTGCTCACAAAGGCTGGTTCGACCATCAGCCCCACCCCCTCCCCTGCCCCCATCCCCAGGAATTCTGTTTGTTCCTCTGGCTTCACACCCTCCTGGGGCAGCTTGTGTAAATCATGCCACCTTGTGTTGTCCCTGCAGACTTGTCACCTAGGAAGGCAGAGTAGTTTACAAGCCTCTCCTTGAGTAGGGATTTGTAGCAGTAATCCCCACCCACAGAGCAAATAAAATGCAGCAGTGACCTTCAATGATTTCCCTTCCATCTGAGGTGCAGCCTTCTGGGGTTCATTGGTGTTTTCTGGGCTTCAACTACGCCCTGCTGCCAATGTGCCCAAGCCCCCTTGGACTTCCCAACCTTCCTCAGAGGAAAACCCACTGGATGATCAACTGAAGCCCTTGCTCAGCCAGGGAATGGGTTAGACATGGACAGAAAAAAGAGGTGAGGGAGAGCGGCTGGCTCAGGGCACGAGAGACCCTTGATGGCGGGTCTCTTGGGTGAGTGGCATACTGGAGTCAGCACATGTGCGGTGTCACTAGCCCAAAGGGTGACATTCTCTTTCTAACCGACACCTCTCTGCATCCTACCTCAGGTATATTTACACATACCAAGACTACTTGAGAAACACTTTATCGTTTTGCACTATCAGGATTTAAGAAGTAAACACCAGCAGACATTTAATGAGCAACTGCTATATGTCAGGCTCTAGACAGAGCTGAGAGGTGACCTTCAAGACTATTCGAGTGTCTTTATTTAAAAAATGGGTGAGCGTGGGCCTGGAGTGCAAGTGACTTACCAAGGTCACCAGCTAATTAACAACAGTCAAAACCAAAGCCTGGACTTTCTGACTGCCCTGTCCTCTGGTTTTTCACCACACCCAAGGACAAACACCTTGAGAGCCGCTGCTCAGGATCCAAAGGTTGGAAAACAAAGGAACTAACCAGGAGATTTAAGCCTCTGGGACCAAATCTGTGTACTTTAAGTGAATGAGACAAGTAGCCAAATAACATCTCAGTATATTTGATCTATGAATGCCCCATTTGCACTGTATGAAGCAGACACACACTTCCTCCCTGGGGACTCCCGTCCAAACAGCTCATGTAACTTGACACCTTCCTCCCACCTTAACCAAACTTTAGGTTGAGCCATATGAAGTTGCCATCTTTATAGGTCAAAAAATGTTAGAATATCGGCAATTCCATATGGTCTAACTGACTACAGCCTCATGTGCCCCATAATAAGTTGTGCACAGAGAGCACCTGGAGGAGAGCACCCTGGGCTTCCGTGTCCCCATGTAGCTCTGCCCCCAGGACTGGTGGCCACTCACTCTTTGACTTCTTTGGAGGAGAAGTCCAGGTAGCGATTGCTGATCCACTGGATCTCAAACCAGTCCCGGAAGCCGTTGTTGCCGCAGCATTTGAACTCGATCTGCAGCATGTCGATGGTCTTCTTCATGAAACACCTGCCAGGGGTGTCTGTGTCCCGGTAGTACTTCATGCCACTCTTGAGCCCATGGGCAAGGGTGCTCTCCAGCGAGCCCTGCATAAGGAAGCAGCAGAGGGCCACCAGGAAGAGGACAATGTTGAAGAGGACACAGATGGCCAGGTACGGCTTCAGCCAGGGCTTCCACCTGGCATACTTGGCAGGATCTAGGGCGTCATAGCAGATCTTGCCAGCCAGAGAGTTGAAGACACAAGACAACAGCCCCATCCCTATCAAGGAGTTGGGCACAAGATGGCTTTCTGAATTATTCATCACATCGCTCCTCTTCCGGAGTTCGATCTTCAGAACGAGCCCTAGGCTGAAGATGACAATGCCAGCCAACACGGAAAGCCAGTTCATGAGCCACAGCCCTTGAGCCAACTTGACCCGCTTCTTCTGGTCAAACTTGACTTTCGGCAGCACCATGCTTGCAGGGTGCGGTCCAGGCGGTCTCCCACAGCACAGCTCCCACTCCTGAACTTAGTGAGCCAGGGGCCTGAAGACTCAGGGACATGGAAAGAGTGCGGACAGTCCAAACTGCAGGGAGCTGCCCTGGGGGCTGCCCATGTTGAGCCCCCTAGCCTGGGACCCCCCGTTAACTCAGTAGTGGTAGCAGGGGCCTCAAAGTCACAGCTCATGAAGGGGCCAGTCCTCGGTGTCGTTTCTGCAGCTCCCTCCCCAGCTAAGAAGGACAGCCTGAAGGCTGCAGATTAAAATTGGGATCCACAAGACATCTTGCTAATCTCTTTAGCCAGGTTCATCCCATTAGATAAAGTTGTGCCAGTTTCAAAACATGCCCCCAGAGGAGCCTCCATGGACACACTGGAGCAGTCAGCTTTGGGTTTAGCTTGGAGAATCAGCAGCAAAAACGATGAGGCTGACGAGAGGAAGGGGCTTTCTCTTTAAGATCTGGCTCAGATCACGCAACTCCCCAGAAGTAAGGTTCCAGGCCAAACTCTTTCCAAATTTAAAACTTTCTATGAACAACAGACACCAGTATCCAAGTTGAAAAACAAATGACAGATTGTGAGAAAACATTCACATGTAAAAAAAGAATTAATGTGCAAATAGTTTTTTAACTCCCACTACTCCGCCATCAAAAGATCAACAATCAACTGGGAAAACAGGCAAGGGACAGGAAGAGCCGATTTATAATAATAGAACTTGAGAAGTCCAACAATCTGGAAAAGATGTTCAATCAGAGTAGAACGCAGAAAAAGGCAAATTAAAACAACAATAAAAGACCAAACTCGGTCCATCAGCTTGAACATCTGTCAAAATTCTGTCACTAGTCAGTGTAAACAAAAACAGCAGAAAGGAGATATGTACTCTTGATGAGTGTAATTCTTTAATTATTTTTTTCAATTAATAAACTTGATTTCTTAAAGCAGTTTTAGGTTTACAAAAAAACTAAATAAAATGTACAAGGAATTCCCATATACTCCTTTCCCCCAACCAGGTTTTTCCTATCATTACTATCTTGCACTGGTGTGGTGCATTAGTTAAATTGATGAACCAATATTGATACATCATTATTATTATTAACTAAAGGCCAGAGTTTATACTAGGATTAACTCTTTGTGCTGTATGGTTCCATGGGTCTTACTAAATGCATAATGTCATGTATCCACCATTATCATGTTGTACAGTATCATACAGATTAGTTTCACTGATCTAATAATAATAATAATCCCTGTGTCCCACCTACTCCTTCCTCCTCTTCTCCCTGCCCAACCCCAGGCATCAACTATCTCTATAATGTTGCCTTTTCCAGAATGTCCTACAGTTGGAATCATACAATATAGCCTTTCCAGACCAGTTTCTTTCCTGTAACAATATGTACTTCATGGTCCTCTGTGTCTTTTTGTGACTTAATGGCTCATTTCTATTTACTGCTGAATAATATTCCAATATATGGATGTGCCACTGTTTGCTTATCAATTCACCTATTAAAGGGCATCTTGGTTGCTTCCAATTTTTGGCAATTATAAATAAAGCTGCTATAAACACTCGTATGCAGGTTTTTGTGTGAACAGAAGTTTTCAACTCATTTGGGTAAATACCTAAGAACATAATTGCTGGATTTATGGTAAGACTATGTTTAGCTTTGGGCCGGCCGAATGGCTCGTTGGTTAAGAGTTGGCTTGGGAGCGCGAGCTCTAAGCAGCAGGGCCGCTGGTTCGGATCCCACATGGACCAGTGATGCTGACCCCTCTACAGCTAAGATGGTGAACAATGGCTCGACCTAGAGCTGGGCTGCCATGAGTTGCTGGCGACAGCATAGGCTGCAGTGGGGCTGCAGTGGGCTGCCATAAGTTACCGTGAGTAGCCGGCAGCCGGTGGGAGCTGCCGTGAGCCGCCGTGAGCGGCCGTCCAATGGCCAGCGAGCAACTGCCTCACCCGGAAAGAGCGCAATGATAATGCCAACATGGGCCAGTGAAGCAACGTCCTCCACAACTAGACTGAAGAACAAAAGGACAGCAACTTGTCTGTTTCCCTTCCCCAATTCCCCAACGCTGTTCCCCTCCCCCAATTTCCCAATAAAATCTTTAAAAAATAAAAATAAAAATAGCTCTACAGAGATCAAGGGATTAACCAAGGACCTCATTCTCCTCAAATGACCAGGATGGGCGGAGTTGAGCCCTTGGCGAGTCTGTGGATACCCCCTGGTGGCCAGAAATAGAATGGCTTCAGTGGAGGGAAAAAGGCCCCTCTCAGGCTAGAATACCTGAGGATGTTAAATTATCTATTGGAAAGGTAAAAGAGAAAGAACAGACGCATCAGAAATGTCCCTGGCCAAACCTTGAAAGTATGAAGCAAGGCAAGATATGGTGAGGAAGAAGCAGAGAAAAGTGAACTGGTGAGAATGGGCAGAAAGTTGGCTCCCTCCCCCACTGGACCCGTGGATGTGAGTCTAGATGCTATAAATCTATTATAAAGATAAAAGAATAAGTTAATGGAATTAGGGGTGATCCATTTTTCTTTTCATATT